AATCTTAGCTTTTTCACCTGGCAAAAACGTTTTGTATTAAAACCACATCCATCGATTTACAAAGCGTTCAGCTGTTTCTTCTTTGATATATCGAGCAATTTTTTTCAATATGAAATAATATTGTACAATATGGCACTTTTATCATGCGGTAACTTACAGCAGCTGAATGAAGTGGGTTCATTGTCAGAGTCACTTTTTATACTAATATGGTGTATCCAAGGTCATCCAGCAGCTTCAGGTAACAGAGCAGGGAAAGATCAAATCATGACAAGTTCTTTCTCTTGTGAGACGTTAGCCCATCGACTTTGTTCTTCTAATCCTTCATCATCCAATTACAGTTCCAGCAATTGTCTTTGCTCTGTTGCATTAAAGTTCTGATTGCTCATTGCCCTGACCTAACACAGTGCTTTGACCTCATGCACTGCTATATTGATTATGTATCTTATTTCCATAAATTGTTGGCCTGTTTTATATGACCTATCTATTGCCCTCTAACTTTCCTTAAATTAAAACAGACCCACACCCACAGCTATTTTGTTTCCAGGTAAGGTGCAGTATAGGGTGTGGTAAAGGCAATATGTATACTTATTCTTTAAAAGCAACAAAAGGCCACAAATCAAACCAATGACATGATGATGTTTTGCTGGAAATATTGGCGCAAGCTCATGAAATCTGTACAATTTGCCATAAAGGATTAGTCCACCCAAAAGTGATAGTTTAGTTCTAGGTGGGATGCCATTTGATATCTCTTAAAGAATCCAGCAGTGATAAATCCTTACCATATTTCTTGGCTCTTCTTTGGAGTGTTGAGTGTTCCTTTACACCTTGGAGTCCCCATATGTCTGTGGCATACTTTGATTCCCTCTTAATAGTTGTGGCGGGTTTGTAAGTCTTAAAAAGTAATTTAAACCTGCCAAGAGAAATATGGGTGCTGCTGTTGCCTACCTGGAACCAGTTAGCAAACCAGGAGTTCTGGTTTTAATCTTCAACTTTCTTGGTCTATATACAGTATATGTTCCAGGTCATGATTCAGTAAGAACTTGTAAGCAAGTTGGCTTAGCTGCCAGTTCTCGCTAACTGGCCATAGACTCCTCCCTTGCTCTCTGCTCCACAATAATGGGACAATATGCACACATACCTGTCCAAACAAGTCGATCTGCCATCTCGGGTCCTCCTGATCTCCAGACCTATATTCTGCCATGCCACATATCCAAGGAAAGTTCATATAAAGAATTGTTCACACCAGCTTCATTTCTAGTATTTTATTTGAGCCCTCATGAGATGTTCCAACTCACAGCACATTTTCCAAATTTCTACTCCATTTTAAGAACCTAAGGACTTCACACAGTTTCTTCCAAACACCATCTTTCTCCATTCTGAATTCTACCTTGGATCCCTTCTTATGGGAGCATTCCCAGGCCTGCCCCAGAGGGGCTCTCCTCAATTTGTCTTCATCCTACATGACCTCTGTCTAAGACCAACTCTTCTTACATGTCTCTGTCTCTCCACCCCCAAGAGGACATTATATGGGCAACAGGATGACCCACCCCCAGGTAAGACTTAACTATGCAGAGACTTATCCTCCTATCTACAAACTGAAGCTAGCACATCCGCAGAACAACAAAGCATTTTCAGAGGGAGGTCAACAAAGTCTGTCAGATAAAAGTCAGTTGAATAAAAAATACTGGTTTATCCCCAGTGTGTAAGTGATAGCATCATAATCTGGGAAGTTTTTCTTCTGCTGAATGCCCTAGAATGAACACAGGAGTGACGCAAACGTGCAGGAAAAGCATAAACTTCTAGTTTGCAATAGCATGAAAACCTGAGTCCTGAACCCATTGGGGCTTTTTTCATTTAATTAGCATTAAGGGACTGCTTAAACTAGAACGCCCCTATAATATGCAGATGGCTATATGATTATCTCCACTTAACATAAGCAAGGACATCCTGTCTTTCATTTTCTGCGCCTGCTGATCTAGGGAGAATTATATTTGCCCATGTTTAATTTGCAATCAGTGACTATTGTGTTATTAATGTCACTGGAAGATAAAATCAGTCTAGGGAAGCAGTACCAGGCCTGTCATATTGTAATGTCACCTATACAATGATGAATAGCAAAGCATTGCAGGTGATACAATACTGTACACTGTCTAATTATTAGCCCAGTGCTTTCATTAATGTATGCAAATGTATTCACACTATACATAAATGTATGCATTCCTGTATATAACAGCATGTCAGATTGGAATATTAGATTTATGTGCTGTTAGAACAATAATCTACTCTGAATACAAAATGGACATAATAGTACTTGTTTGGAGTTTAGAGTACTTTGTAAAATACTAATGTCCAGAATAAATGATTATACTTTAAAATTATTTGAATCAATTTAATTAAAATATAGCTAAAACCTAAACTATTTTGTTTAGCCTTGGATTGTGTAAGAAGCGGTTAAAACCTCTGTAAGGTTTTTATTAATGTCTGTGCGCTACTGGGGAGATTTCATTTCCTGTATCAGAGATAAAACAGGAAGTAATGGGAGGTCTCTCCAAAGTGAGGAAAGCTTCCATCTTAGACAGATGTCACTGAATTAGTTAGAAGATTTCCCCCTCTCCTACAGTATTGGCGACATCTGATTTCCAATCACTTTCTGTCCAGAACACAGTAGTCAACCTACAATAGAGAGTGTGAATAAAGGGGAGAGAACAATGTTCTGGGACAACTTGCCAGCCAGCTTGCTAACAACTGAATTAACCTGTCTAACATTATGCGTTTATAACAGGGGTTTAGTTAGCACACATTTGCAAATACATACGTAAGCCACAGAGCCATGTCACGGCACCCTGATAATCTGTGGTCCTAACTCTACATGTAGTGGATTGTGATAGACAGTCTACGTTTTATTAGATGATCAGTAAAATGACAATTTTATAGTCTTGCTACTTTCTGCTTCTTTCTCTTTAAAATTCCTTACTCTCTTAAGTAAACAATCAGATAGAGGTTGACAGAACAATGATGATAATTAAGATAGCGCCTTCATCCGGAGTCTCACCCTAGGTGACTCATTAGGAGAAAAGTATCTTTTTAATGTAAACAACCCCCATAAAAGGGAATGAGTCTTTTTGGGGAAAATGATTGGAAGATATCAACACGGATGGAAGAACACGGAGAAACCCAGTGGACTTTTCACCCAATCAATGTATATGCTTTGCCTGCATCATAAGCCCTATAAATGATACTGTTAGTTCCTCAAAAAAACAGAATTTTAGGAAGTTGGCAAACTGCAACAGTGCCAGTGTCCACGTGCACGTATTCTCACATTAATTAGGCTCACTGGTAGATCACAACAGCTGTGGTCGGTAAGTGACCACATCCAAAACATACAATTTGAGAGTCCCCATGGTAGAGGCACATGCATTTAATGGATAGATCAAGGGCAGGTGAACCTGAGGGAGCCCACCTGTTAGGAATGGACTTGCCAGTAGTGGTGGGACTCACCTGCCTTGTGGGCTGCAGTACCAGGGCTGGCCAGCGGGTGCTCCCAGCAATCAGAGACTCAACCCTGCAGTCAGCCAAACACCTGAAACTGCTTATGCAGGTGTATTTAAGTGATGGCCAGACCTGCAGTCTTTGCCTTGGTGTGTGTGTTTTTCCTGGGCCCTGTATCTTGTAATCCTGCATTCTTGTTCCTTTTCCTGTGTTCCTGCTAGTACGTTTCCTTGTTGCCAAACTCTGCCTGTTCTGATTACGCTGACCCTCTCCTGCTCTGACCCCGGCTCGTTCCTGACCATCCCTCTGCCTGACCCTCTGTACCACGCTGCCCGCTACCTGCTGAACCTGGCTTGTGACCCCGACCATTCTCCGCTTGCTCCCCCTGTACCTACCTGCCTGATGACGCTTGCATTGTATGTACTGTTATCTGTGGGTGGTTGGTTTGGTTTGTTTGCACTGTGTTATGTTTTTAGTATTGCACTGCGTTTATGTTTGTATTGTTAGTGTTAATATATTATATTGTTTATAACATATCTGAAGTCTGCGTTTCCCTGCGTCAGTCACATACCTCTGGTCACACCCTGGAGCCTGACATTACACCAAGGCCAATCCTGACCAGAAGTGGCTGCACAGGGAAGCCATCTTAGTTTGTTGATGGGAAGGATGGATCTTGATGAGGTTGTGTATTTATATCTGCTAGTGTTTGATGACAGAGAGTATGCTTATCAGACTCTGAAGGAGTATCCCGGGATGAACTGCTAGAATGTATACGGATCGCTCATGTTCTAGTAGATCAGGGCACAGAATTCTCTGAGGTGCAGCCATTGATTCAGGTTTGTGCGGAGTTGGTTTCATCTGGTACCCCCGAATGCAGGGATGAATTTTTTGCCACCATTTAGTGCCGACCAGGTAGAGTCCCTGGTATGGTTATTAGAGGATGATGTGGATTACTTTCTGGAGCGTTATTCTGCATGTCCACCACAGGTATTAAGGATTGTATAAACGCAGTGCAGTCATTGACCAGACAGGCTTTGTGTAAACTGAGCTTTGTTCAACCCATACTGCAGACATGGACAGATTTGTTGCACCCAGCCTCAGTCAGCTTGCAAAAACCCAGTCCTGCTTCTAATCTATTTCCTCAAAGCTCTATTCCTGCATTCCCAACAGCTCCTCCTGCCCTGCTATCTACCGCATGTCAGTACCCTGTTCCCACTCGCTGCACCTATCCTGCCTTTAACCCTGTAAAGAAGTCCTCTGTAGCAACTGTTCACTCCCCTGTTCCATCCTCCAGCTCTTCTCTGTCTCCAGCTGCTCCATTCGTTTGCAGACCTGCGTTTACTTGCAGTGCTCCAGTAGTTAAAACCAGAAAAAAAGCGAAAATTCTTTCCAACCAGTACCATCCTGCCAGTATCCAAACCGGTCAGCCTGCCGTCTGAGAACCGGCCTTCCGTGGTTCAGCCTGGTGCCTCGGCACACCGCACTTCAGCCTGATGTCTGTACCCAGCCTGATGCCTGTACCCAGCCTGATGTCTGTACCCAGCCTGATGCCTCCATTCAGCCTGATGCCTCCATTCAGCCTGATGCCTCTACCCGGCCTGATGCCTCTACCCGGCCTGATGCCTCTATTCGGCCTGATGCCTCTATTCAGCCTGATGCCTCTATTCAGCCTGATGCCTCTACCCAGCCTGATGAACTGATCCAGCTGATGATCCTATTAGGCCAGTTGACTCGATGCCCGCTGTTGATCCAGACGATCCGGTACCTGATGACCCGTGCCCGCTGTCATACCTGGTGACCTGATGCCCGCTGTCGAGCCAGACGATCCAATGCCTGATGACCCAGTGCCCGCTGTCATGCCTGGTGACCCGAAGCCCGCTGTCGAGCCAGACAATCCAGCGCCAGATGACCAGGTGCCTGCTGTCGAGCCAATTGACTCAAAGCCCGCTGTCGTGCCTGGTGACTCGGTGCCCACTGCCTTGCCCGATGACGCGGTGCCCGCTGGCAAGCCAAATGACCTGATGCCTGGTGACCCAGTGCCCGCTGTCATACCTGGTGACCCGATGCCCGCTGTCGAGCCAGACAATCCAATGCCTGATGACCCAGTGCCCGCGGTCATGCCTGGTGATCCGATGCCCGCTGTCGAGCCAGACGATCCAGCGCCAGATGACCCGGTGCCTGCTGTCGAGCCAGGACGATCCAATGTCTGACCCAGTGCCCGTGGTCATGCCAGTTGACTCGGAGCCCACTGTCGTGCCTGGTGACTCGGTGCCTGTCGCTCCGCCTGGGGGTCCAGCGCCCGCGCCGCTCCGCCTGGGGGCCCGAGACCTGTCGCTCCGCCTGGGGGTCCGAGCCCTGTCCGCTCTGCCTGGGGGCCCGAGACCTGTCGCTCCCCGCCTGGGGGCCCGAGACCTGTCCTCCGCCTAGGGGGCCCGATGCCTGTCACCCCGCCTGGGGGCCCGATGCCTGTCGCCCCGCCTGGGGGCCCGATGCCTGTCACCCCGCCTGGGGGCCCGATGCCTATCTGCCCTGCCTGGGGGCCCGGTGCCTGCTGCTCTGCCTGGTGGCCCGGTGCCTGCTGCTACTCCGCCTGGTGGCCCGGTGCCTGCTGCTCCCGCTGGTGGCCCGGTGCCTGCTGCTCTGCATGGTGGCCCGTGCCTGCTGCTCGCCTGGTGAGCCCGATGTGCCTCTGCTCGGAGTCCAGCCCGATGTGCCGCTGCCCGGAGTCCAGCCCGATGTGCCGCTGCCCGGAGTCCAGCCCGATGTGCCGCTGCCCGGAGTCCAGCCCGATGTGCCGCTGCCCGGAGTCCAGCCCGATGTGCCGCTGCCCGGAGTCCAGCCCGATGTGCCGCTGCCCGGAGTCCTGCCCGATGTGCCGCTGCCCGGAGTCCTGCCCGATGTGCCACTGCCCGGAGTCCTGCCCGATGTGCCGCTGCCCAGTGTGCCGTTGCCCGGAGTCCTGCCCAGTTTGCCGCTACCCGGAGTCCTGCACGATGTGCCAGTCTTTGATATCCCGCCAGTTACCAGACCCGGGCGGTGGAACATTTTGCCCAGCTAGGACTGTTTGGAGCGTCCTGAGGCCGCTCCTTGAGGGGGGGGTACTGTTAGGAATGGACTTGCCAGTAGTGGTGGGACTCACCTGCCTTGTGGGCTGCAGTACCAGGGCTGGCCAGCGGGTGCTCCCAGCAATCAGAGACTCAACCCTGCAGTCAGCCAAACACCTGAAACTGCTTATGCAGGTGTATTTAAGTGATGGGCCAGACCTGCAGTCTTTGCCTTGGTGTGTGTGTGTTTTTCCTGGGCCCTCTATCTTGTAATCCTGCATTCTTGTTCCTGTTCCTGTGTTCCTGCTAGTACGTTTCCTTGTTGCCAAACTCTGCCTGTTCTGATTACGCTGACCCTCTCCTGCTCTGACCCCGGCTCGTTCCTGACCATCCCTCTGCCTGACCCTCTGTACCACGCTGCCCGCTACCTGCTGAACCTGGCTTGTGACCCCGACCATTCTCCGCTTGCTCCCCCTGTACCTACCTGCCCGATTGTTATTGACCCGGCCTGCCTGACGACGCTTGCATTGTATGTACTGTTATCTGTGGGTGGTTGGTTTGGTTTGTTTGCACTGTGTTATGTTTTTAGTATTGCACTGCGTTTATGTTTGTATTGTTAGTGTTAATAAATTATATATTGTTTATAACATATCTGAAGTCTGCGTTTTTCCCTGCGTCAGTCACATACCTCTGGTCATACCTGGGAGCCCTGACACCACCCCTCTTAAAGGCAAAGGAGTGCACAGGACCCCAACATGTAGCACAATGGCAGCCAGGGTCCAATTAAAGGGTATAATAGAGAGTGTGCCTATTCCCAATGTGAACACAGATAGCAGTAAATACCTGCTGAAATTTGAGCTGGCTCCTCAGCAACTATTTGTGACATTATATTTCTCAGCCCAGTCTAGACCCTAACCTTCTGTTTCTCTAGGTCAGATAAAGGGGACCCTTGCTACCCCTAAATCGTGGTGGCCCTATTGTTAATTACAAATAAAATCTATTCTGGACTTCTACCAGTGAAGTGGTACTTTTTATCCTCCAATATCCTTTTACAATTTCACAGTGACTGCCCAGAAAGGATCCACAGAAGAGTTGCCACATACCACCCATCAATTTTACAACATATGAACTAGCCCAACGCTCATAATTTTGACTGTTAGAAACATAGAACCATAAGGAAGAATGATGGCCGAAAAAAAGCTCAATTGGTCAGTCAAGTCTACCCCAATTGGTCAGTCAAGTCTATATATATATACACACACTATATTGGCAAAAGTGTTGGGCCCCCCCTCCAAATCATTGGATTCAAGTGTTTCAATCACCTCCATGGCCACAGGTGTATAAAATCAAGCACCTCGGCATGCAGACTGCTTCTACAAACATTTGTAAAAGAATGGGTCGCTTTCAGGAGCTCAGTGAATTCAAGCGTGGTACCGTGATATGTTGCCACCTGTGCAATAAGTCCATCCGTGACATTCCCTTGCTATTAAATATTCCACAGTCAACTGTTAGTGGTATTATAACAAAGTGAAAGCAACTGGGAACAATAGCAACTCAGCCACAAAGTGGTAGGCCACATAAAATGATAGAGCGGGGTCAGCGCATGCTGAAGTGCACAGAAGTCACCAACTGTCTGTAGAGTCAATAGCTAAAGACCTCCAAACTTCATGTGGCCTTCAGATTAGCACAAGAAAAGTATGTAGAGAGCTTCAAGGAATGGGTTTCCATGGTCGAGCAGCTGTATCCAAGCCTTACATCACCAAGTGCAATGCAAAGCATCGGATGCAGTGGTGTAAAGCACGCCGCCACTGGACTCTGGAACAGTGGAGACATGTTCTCTGGAATGACGAATCACGCTTCTTTGTCTGGCAATCTGATGGATGTGTCTGGGTTTGGCGGTTGCCAGGAAAATGGTACTTGTCTGACTGCATTGTGCCACGTGTTAAGTTTGGTGGAGGGAGGATTATGGTGTAGGATTGTTTTTTTAGGGGTTAGGCTTAGAAAACAACTATTGAAGGGAACTCTTAAGGCGCCAGCATACCACGACATTGTGGAGAATTTCATGCTCCCAATTTGGGGATGGCCCCTTCCTGTTCCAAAACATGACTAAACCAGTGCACAAAGCAAGGTCCATAGAGACATGGATGAGTGAGTTTGGGGTGGAGGAACTTGACTGGCCTCCACAGAGTACTGACCTCAACCCGATAGAACACCTTTGGGTTGAATTAGATCAGAGACTGTGAGCCAGGCCTTCTCTTCCAACATCAGTGCCTGACCTCACAAATACGTTTCTGGAAGAATGGTCAAACATTCCCATAGACACCCTCCTAAACCTTGTGGACAGCCTTCCCAGAAGAGTTGAAGCTGTTATAGATGCAAAGGATGGGCCAACTCAATATTGAACCCTATGGACTAAGACTGGGATACCATTAAAGTTAAAGTGCATATAAAGGCGGCATCCCAATACTTTTGGCAATATAGCATATGTATATATATATATATATATATATTTTTTTTTTTTTTAATATAGATATAGTATAGATCTATGTTTGTCACAAGCAAGTTTGAATCCACTTACTGTTGACTGACTCACTACCTCTGCTGGAAATGTATTCCAATCATCAGCAACTCTTTTCGGTAAAATAATACTTGCTAGGATTAGTTTTGAACTTTCCTCCAGGTCGTTTGAGGTCATGTCCCCGTGTTCTTGATCTTGGCTTCATATTGAATAGCCTGCCCTCCTGAACCTTAATTACCCCCTGGATGTATTTTAAGGTTTCAGTCATGTCTCCCCTTTCCCTTCTTTTCTCCAGACTATACATATAGAGTTCCTGAAGTCTGTTCCCTCCATAGATGGAGTGATTTCCTTTCCTGCAACCACGGGTTTCAGAAAAGAAATCGCTCAATTCCCCATGAACACAATTAGTGTTGATGGGGGAATCCTTCCCGCGGAGCTATTGTGTTCTCTTGGTGAGGGGAGCCATCCCTGCCAGGAGAACACAGTGATTACTGCTGGCAGCTATAACGGTCACTAGCAATAATCGCATGTAAAATACGATAGGTTGGTTGTACCCAAGTTGATCATTCAATCAACTTGGGTACATTGAACCTGCCCATACATGGTTCAAATCTCTGCTGAACCAGCCGAGATTCAAACCACCTATAGCCAGCTTCAGTAACTATCTACATAGAGGAATCAGGACGTCTTTTCTCCTGCTCGTGACCCCTCTAGTGACTATTATATAAGCAATGGTGGTCCTAATTCTTACCTACATTATCTAAAACTTGAAATAAAGGATTTAGCTTTAGATACACTTTAAATTGCTCAATATCGATCAAAAGGAGGTGTTTTCTGTATTTTCAGTTACACATTAAAGTGGACCCATAATAAAGTGAAGGGTCCACTATACTGGACAAAAGTGAAACACAAGGTACTTGACCTGCTGCCAGCCTGACCAAGATTAAAGTTTCAAATTGCTGAGTAAATTGAAAACTAAAGCTTACTATTTTGCAGTTAGAATTTTGAAAACGTTTATTTTCTAATGGTTAATCGGGACAGATCAACAAATGTTTTTGATGATAATGATGAGAAAAATTTAAGGCGATGGATGGAAAATTTTTCCAGTTTTCATCTGAACAAAATTTTGTGGTTCTCAGTCAGGAAAAATCATACTTATTGTAACATACTTGTGCTAAGAAAGGTTTTATCCCAAATCAGACCTTTTGTGGTCACAAACATTTGTTCTTTTAAATGATTATGTGTGGTATAGAAATGTATAGAATAACAATACAAACAAAGGTTAGCTGCAAAGAACTACAAATCCTTTGGTAGGTAAGTCAGTTTTCAGTCTCATATATACAGTATGTTTAGCTTCCAGCCTGGAATTCTGATTTACAAAGGTACTGTACCTAATACAGATGAAGCATGCTGTAAGGTAGTTGTAGAACCTGATCCATAGTTTGACCCTTACATATTAATATCCATCAAAGGAATGTTTGAGTAGACATTTCACGTCTCATTTTTTTCCATATACATAAAACAAAATGTGAAAATTCTTTAAAGGCTCTTTAAAGTTGTATGATCACCATTACTAATAAATACCACTGGAAACGTTGATTATTTGCCAAAAATGTGGACTTGCCCTTTAAGAATGACTTTGTGGTCTTATACCTGCATCGTTTAATTAAAAGATAATTAATGAATCTACCTCATAGAGACAGGTTGGTTTGGCTCTGCACAGTTCAAGGGCATTTACTTCTTAATGCATTGATTATTGAATATTTAATCTTTAGGAAAGGGCAACCACCATATTAAAATTCAGAGATTAGCTAAGAAAGTCACAACTGGTAAAAGGCTATGAGAAGAAAAAACTAAACAAGTATGGTGATGAGCTGTGGATGATAGGTGATGGAACATGGAAGGAGTCAATAGGTTTATTGGACAGTGCAAGTAATAGATGACAATCACAGAGAAAGACACAATACATGTGCAAAGAGAGACTAACCCTCACCAGCATAGCAGACATTAAAGCAAATGTAAGCCCTAATACAGAAGCACAATTAGGAGTCAGTTGTCATCCTGTAACAGAAAGTGCCTGAGAAAGAGTCATCATAGCAGGATCACTGAGCATTATTTTATTGAAAGAATAATTATTCTTATTGTTATTTTTGTTATTATCCTTACCATTAATGATGTTGTTGGCACCAATGGCCCATGTGTACAAGATCAAATGAATTAATTAGCAGCACCTCCTATGTCATATTTGGCTTGATCTGCCTGTGTGGTCTTTTTATATGTTGGTCATACTATACGTCCATTGAGAGTCAGGTTCAATGAGCATAAGTGTAACATCATTAATGGTAAGGATAATAACAAAAATAACAATAAGAAAAATTATTCTGTACCGCGACACTTTCAAGAAAAGCATAACAACAATCCTTCAGGCATGAAGGTGTTCTGTGTTGGATCTGTTAAAGGATATTCCAAAAACTATGCATGAGAGAGACATTGGATTTTCACCTTAGGCTCTCTTGTCCCTGGTGGACTCAATGAAGACCTTGAGATACATGGGGTTGTTCATTGATCCACCTATAAGCCCGCAGGTGGCCTGGCCTTGGGATTTGAGTCCTTCCTTTTTTCTATGTTTTTTTTCACTCTATTTCAGTTGCTTGAGCCATTAATCTGTAGATGTTCATAGTTTTATATAAGCAATTCATTTTTAGAAACTTTTTAATCATTGAATAAGAGTGTTTTTATGGTTCGTACCCCATTGACTAATGTATGTCACCCATATCATCCAAGCCTTTATTCTGTGCTTACTCATGTTTGATTATATAATTATATATACAATATTATTTCATTTCTCCCAATTTTGTTCTTGGCATCCTATTCATATCCATGCCACTTCACATCCACTAGGATTTTCTATGGTTTCACTTATAATTTACCAATACATAATTTTGTTTATTCTATTCCCCCCCTTTTTGTGTGTGTGCTGTTTTTTCCCCTTAGTCTATAATCAGGGACAATAACGGGAGAGTTTTGGTAGGCTGAGAGGTCGGTCTGGCATACACACATGCTATCTGGATTGATGCAGCGGCTTTTTCCATCCTACAAGTGTCCTTGTCTCTTGTCTACACCTGTGCAGTCAGCTGACAGCAGTCTGCTGTCTTCCTGGTTCCTGTAGAAGCGCACGTCAGGTCCTCACTCCTGACTGTGGCGATGCATGCGGTCAGCTGACCACCTGGTCCTCAGTGGAGCGTATGACGCCTCCGCACTTCCAGATAGGAGGTGCAAGCCCACGTTCCAGTGAACCGAATATGATGGCGTGCATTCCAAGGGATCACACCACACACATATCTGTGAGAGATACTTGGATACTGCTCATCTGGGTTCATTATCAGGAGTGCACTGCAGCCTGTCATATCCATCTGAAGGTTTTTGACATCAATACATTTATATACATAGGAGATGTGAGTCAATATACATCTATGATATTTGCTGAAATCTGTTCATTTATATTCATATCCATGTACACTTCTCTTTGTTTGACCAGTTCACACATCATTCATGATCAATATTGAGATCCCTGTGAATCTCTTTGCATGAGTGCCGGCTGTAGACATGGATGAATTGGGTGACTCTAATCCATATGATACAATTGTATCTAGTGTATACAGTATGATACAAGCAGGGGCGGACTGACAACTCATGGGGCAATAGGGGATCATGGGGCCCCTGTGTCCTTGCCCACACTCAAAAAAGCCTATAAAAAAGGTACCAGGGGCATTTCATGGGGCCCCCTACTGACCCCAGGCCCTCGGGCAGTGCCCGAGTGCTCGAATGGTCAGTCCGCCCCTGGATACAAGTAAGCCTTTGATGTATATATGTTTGTTATTCACTTGAGTGAGCTTTGTGGATCATTGAACATTCACCACACATTTTTAGCAATGTTCACAGACTGGACTTTTAGTCCTATCTATTGTATCTAGAAGGGCGGTACTTGGGATAACTGTCTCCACCCATGGGGGATCCTGTGACGACCCACATACAGTGTCTGCACAGGACACTAGAATATATAAGAGAGGGTACAGGCATTGTGTGTGTTGGCTCTGAGGAAGGGGCAAGTCCTCAAAACGCGTTAGCTTCAGGGTTCCCATTGCGGACATCACCTAGTGTAGACTGAACAGCTGCTGTTCTTCTATGATGTGCCTTTGACATTATTGTCATCTGTGAGTATATTACCTATCAGGGGCAGACTGACAACTCATGGGGCCCCCGGGCAATAGGGGATCATGGGGCCCCTGTGTCCTTGCCCAAACTCAAAAAAGCCTATGAAAAAGGTACCAGGGGCATCTCATGGGGCCTCCTACTGACCCCGGGCCCTCGGGCGGTGCCCGAGTTTCCAAATGGTCAGTTCCGCCCCTGTTACCTATCATTTTTTATCAATAAATGTTTTTTTAAGGTAATGCACTAGGCCTGTGCACCCTCTGTTGGTATAAGTTTTTAGTTAGGTTGGGGTTGAGTCTGCTTTAGGCTCCGTTCACACTTGTGTGACTTGACAAGCAACTCTGGACACATAAAGTTGCATAACAAGTCGCAAACCCATTGTTTTTAATGGCACTCATTCAGATCTATGCGGCTTAATGTTACAGCGACTTTGAAAAAGGTTACTGCACTACTCTGATGCAACGTTGATGCGGCTTAAGTGTTAGAGAAGGTAAACTTGCATCAAAGTCGTATTAAAATTCGCATTCCAAAGTCTCATTGGAAATGTGCATCTTTGGAGTCACACAAGTGTGAAAGGAGGCTTAAAGTGTCACTAAACCCACAATAATACAGTCAGTCTGTATATGCAGTAAAGCATGCTTGTTATACTCACTGTAAAACCTATGGGGTTAATCTTCTGCATTGTGTAAAAAGGATGTTTGATTCTGTTTTCTCTGATCCTCCCCTTCTTCCACTGTCCCAATCCATATGCTGATAGTACAGAGCTCTAGGAGGCACTCTGCACATGGTCAGTTTGTATGTATTGCTACAGAGGTTGTTTTTTTTTTGTGGGCAGGTGCATGTGATCAGCACAGGGCCAATCAACACTGCCAGGACAGAGGGTCAGGGGTCATGCAGCCTCATAGGACAGGCAGAGGAGAATGATAACGCCTGGGTTTTGTAACACTTTAACAGCTTCAAGTCCAGACACTTTCACCCCCTTTCTGTCCAGGCCAATTTTCAGCTTTCAGTGCTATCACACTTTGAATGACAATTGCGTGATCATGCAACACTATACCCATATGAATTTTGTAGCATTTTTTTGAGACAGATAAAACTTTATTTTGGTGGTATTTATTCACCAATGGAATTTTTAGTTTTTTTCTATATAAATGAAAAAGTCCAAACATTTTGAAAAGAAAAGTGTTTTTCTTATAAAATTTTGCAAATAAAAAAAATCTTTCTTCATAAATCTTGGCCAAAATGTATTCAGCTATCTTTTTAGTAAAATTATTTTTTACATTTTTATTTTATCTTTTATATTATTATTTATGTTTTCTTTTTGGTAACATACCATCACCCTAGCAGTACAGTGTCACCATAGTGACACTGTACTACTTGTGGGGGGTGAGGAAGATTTTTTTTTTCTTTTTTTATACTGATTGCTTTTACACCCATAAAGGCTGTAAAAGCAATCATTTCTCCTTCTCTCTGGCTGTATTCTTGCAACCATTGAGAAATACTGTGATTGGTCACAGCTTGTCACATGGTACAAGGCTGTTGTGAATTGCCTTGTACCATGTGACCTCTGTGATCGTTCACAGATTTCACAAGTAGTAAGCAATGATGTCAGGAAGTGACATCTTGCTTACTACTATTCATGTGATTACTGATTGACCATCAGTGATCACATGAATTGGGACCTCACACAGAGGTCGCGTACAGCGGTGCCGCGCACTTCCAGGGAGTGCGCACAGACAGTGAATGGTGACCCGTTTCTGCACTGCTGCCCTTCCGGTTGTTTATGTACACGGGCCGGACAGGAAGTGGTTAAGGACCAGAACATTCCAGACACTGTAATTATTCCTATTAAAATTTAATATAAGCTTTAAAGTGACACTAAACAATATCCATAAGTCTCCAAAAATCATTCATACACATCCACTACTTAATGGTCCTGTAATATAGTTTTCATGAAATTTTTTCTTAATGTGTTTTTCTGCCTCCTTGTAATATCCACTGTGAGCTCCAGAACTCTCATTTTTCCTCTCCGGTTTTTTTGGGACGAGCATGCACAATAGTTGTGGTCATATACACTGCTCTTTGCACACTACAAATAACATAGTCCATAGTCCCTAGTTCATCTTGGAAGAGAACAAGAGAGGGTGGTTATGTTCCTACATACAGTGGGATAATGGAGATGATCACTTTAAAGTGGTGAAGTAATTCAAAATTGTTTTCAATCTTTTTAGATTTGCAGCTTTTATTGATATAATACCAGTGGATCCTGCCACAAAGGCGCTTGTTTAGGCACTTCATGTAACGGGGTGACAACAGTGTTCTAATTGTGCTCCTGCATTGTCACCCTGTACTCCTGGTGGAAGCTATAAACAGCCATGTCTTGAGCAGCTCTGCAAAGAAACCAATCAGCTTTCAGGTTTTAGCACCAAATCTTAATTGAACAAGCTGAAGTTAGAAGCTGATTGGCTACCATGCAGAGCTGCACTCAATTATGAGTACACTAGTTTTAGTAAATCTTCCCCACAGTCCTTTAGCACACTAAATGTCATTCAGTTAGGCTTTACGTCCACTTAAAATGTCTTTGCATTAGGTTGCCTATACACTGACGATGTTTCTGAACATTTAATTAAAATTTCATATCCGAAACATTGTTGGTAAACAACAGTAATTTGTATTCTGCATTCATTTTTTGTGACTGGTATGATTTTAGAGTTATTGCTGGGCAATCACATTCTACCTGTATGGCTAGTTTTAAATCATTAAAATGGACAACCAGAGAATGCAACTTACTTCCAGTAATTTCTATCAACACCCTGAAATGATTGGTTGCTGAAATTGCTGTGGTGAATCAGTGCATCCAACTCCCTACTGTTGGTGATCTGATGATCCCTGTTGTGATTCATCAAATAAACTCTCAAACACGGCCTCTGCAGGCTTCCTTTTGTCTGATTTAAATATATATATGTACAAAGATATTTCTCCCAGGCAGCACCTTGAAAGTTGATTGAGGAAGCATGAAAAGATACAGCATGGGCTTAGAAATGTCAAGTCTAGACCTAATAGCCAGGCAAAAACCTTGCTCTCCACCAGTTGCCCCACCAAACCTTGCCCAGGTCCGCCTCCAACCTCACCCCAGACCCATCCCCCAACCCCGCCCCCAGCCCTATCCCCAACCATGCCCCCTTAAAGCTTATGAAATTACATTTTTCTTTAGAATAAAGAGTCCAAAATATAAAAAACAGCAAGTATAACATAGCTTTATTATGTCAATTTAAACATAACAGCAATAGCTTAATAGCAATAGGGTGAAATCAAAATATCAAGTTTTACTGCTTTAAACCCGTAGTAAACATTTTGTAGATTTTTTTATCTCCAGCATCTTTTAAAAGAGATTTTAGTTTACAGAAGTATAGCCTAAGAAAAAGTGCTTATTTTGATGCCAAAAAACATGGAATAATAGTTACTGTAAACATGTTGTATTTTTTTATCTCCAGCAGAGACCTTAGAGAAGTGTTACATTAAACAAAACAAAATGTGCCTTTTTTATGGCCAAAAAAAACATGGCATGAAATAAATAACAATAGTAAACATTTTGTATATTTTTATCTCCAGCATCTTATTAAAAGAGAGCTTAGAGAAGTAGTGCATTAAGAAACCGCGGCGGTGGAGAGCGGGCCTCTCCTCGTGTCTCCCTCAGCGGAGGAGAGCGAACTCTCCTGCACCTGTCCCCACAGCGGCTCTGCCAGTGTAATGGCGGTGCCAAAGAAGAAGCCGGAAGTCGTCAGCTTCAAAAAACGAACTTGGAGCTCAAGTGGAACGCAAATCGATCCCCGGGGCCTGGGGATCGCATTGAAAGCCATCCGTTCCATCAATAAATGTGCATTACTGTGCTTGCCAGAAAGGAATTTCCCCCTCGCATTTGGCGAGCGGAGCGGAATGTTCAAGCCCTGAGATACAGCATGGGCTTCAAGATCCGGTGACCGGATATCCCTGATCGCTGTCGGTCCCCATTTTAGGAGGCTGTCCCTGGTTAAAAAGCATCCCTGGCTAGGTATTGGCATCCCTGGCATTCCATAATGCAAGTATGTATATCTCATACTTGAGGGGCTGCTGGTGAAGCTGACAATCATTGTAGTAACGCCAACTACCTTAGTAATTGTCATCTTCCCCAGCAGCCCCTCTGATTACAAGAGGTGGCGAATGTGGTACATCTGCTCTTCTATTCAGCATGAGACACGGAAGATCAAGGCTATCACTGTAGCTCCACCGACTACTGTAGTAATTGTCACCTTCCCCAGCAGCCCCTTGGGTATGAGATAGGCACACTTATATTGTGCCAAGCTAAAGTAATGTAAGTATAAATAAAGATCTTGCTTGAAATTCAACTTTAAAAATAATACAAGAAAGCCAACGGTCAGATATGGGAATCAGTAAGTATACTTTATACCAGCAGCTTCTAATATCTGCAGCCGTATAATGCCAGAATCAACTGCTTGGAAAAATATAACACCAGCCTCTGGTACATATTAATGTATAATGCAGATGTCTAATGGTTGGAAAAATGTACCAGCCTGTGATGTCATTGCTGTCGAGCTCCAGTTTCTGTAAATTTCTAATGTAAATCTTTGATATTTGCAGTGCCTTGAAAAAATATTCACACCCCTTGAAATTTTCCACATTTTGTCATGTTACAAATAAAAACTTAAATGTATTTTATTGGGATTTTATGTGATAGACCAATACAAAGTGACACATAATTGCAAAGTGGAAGGAAAATGATAAATGATTTTCAAATTTTTTTACAAATAAATATCTGAAAAGTGTGGCATGCATTTGTATTCAGCCCCCTTTACTCTGATACCTTTAACTAAAATATAGTGGAACCAATTGCCTTCAGAAGTCACCTAATTAGTAAATAGAGTCCACTTGTGTGTAATTTATCTCAGTATTAATACAGCCATTCTGTGAAGCCCTCAGAGGTTTGTTAGTGAACTTTAGTGAACAAACAGCATTATGAAGGCCAAGGAACACACCAGAGAGGTCAAGGATAAAGTTGTGGAGATGTTTAAAGCAGGGTTAGGTTATAAAACAATATCCTAAGTGTTGAACATCTCATGGAGCACTGTTCAATCCATCATCTGAAAATGGAAAGAGAGTGGCACAAATGCAAACCTACCAAGACATGGCCGTCCACCTAAACTGACAGGCCGGGCAAGGACAGCATTCATCAGAGAAGCAGCCAAGAGGTCCATGGTAACTCTGAATGAGCTGCAGAGATCCACAGCTCAGGTGTGAGAATCTGTCCACAGGAAAACTATTAGTCCTGCGCTCCACAAATCTGGCCTTTATGGAAGTGTGGCAAGAAGAAAGCCATTGTTGAAAGAAATTCATAAGAACTCCCGTTTGCACTTTGAAAGAAGCCACGTGAGGGACACAGAAAACATGTGGGAGAAAGTGCTCTGGTCAGATGAGACCAAAATTGAACTTTTTGGTTTAAAAGCAAAATGCTACATGTGGCTGAAAACTAACACTGCACATCACCCTGAACACACCATCCCCACCGTGAAACATGGTGGTGGCAGCATCATGTTGTGGGGATGATTTTCTTCAGCAGGGACAGGGAAGCTGGTCAGAGTTGATGAGAAGATGGATGGAGCCAAATACAGGGCAGCCTTAGCAGAAAACCTGTTAGAGTCTGCAAAATACCTGAGACTGGGGCGGAGGTTCACCTTCCAGCAGGGCAATGACCCTAAACATACAGCCAGAGCTACAATGGAATGATTTCGATCAAAGCATATTCATGTGATAGAATGGCCCAATCAAAGTCCAGACCTAAATCCAATTGAGAATCTGTGGCCAGACTTAAAAATTGCTGTTCACAGACACTCTGCATCCAATCTGACAGAGCTTGAGTTATTTTTGCAAAGAAGAATGGGCAAACATTTCACTCTCTAGATGTGCGAAGCTGGTAGAGACATCCCCAAAAAGACTTGCAGCTGGAATTGCAGTGAAAGATAGTTGAAAGGTGGTTCTACAAAGTATTGACTCCGGGGGGGCTGAATACAAATGCACGCCACACTTTTCAGATATTTATTTGTAAAAACGTTTGAATACCATTTATTAATTGCCTTCCACTTCACAATTATGTGCCACTTTATGTTGGTCTATCACATAAAATGCCAATAAAATACATTGACATTTTTGGTTGTAATATGACAAAATGTGGAAAATTTCAAGGGGTATGAATACTTTTTTGAAGACACTGTATGTAATCTCAGTCTTAGGATACAAGCCTCATAAATATAGCTCATCTTCTGGTCATTGACATTTTACTCCAAAAGGCT